AGATAGATAGATAGATAGATAGATAGATAGATAGATAGATAGATAGATAGATAGATAGATAGATATAGATATAGATATAGATATAGATATAGATATAGATATAGATATAGATATAGATATAGATATACACAAGGGTGAGGAGGGAGGAAATCTTCCTCAGATGGGGATTCTAGGTGGCCTGGGTGGTATAAATAAGGGAAAGCACCTGGGGACCTTGATAAGAGGAGATTAAATCCATCATCAAAGGCAAACCCTATTATTTTTCATAATTTTGTCTCAGACCTGCTATACTGTAGCTAGCTGAAAGACTGATCAATGGTAATATGGTATAGTAAAAAGAATATCAGATCTTAAACAGAAAGTCGGGGTTCAAATTCTGCCTTTGTCTTTAATCAGCTGTCTGACCTTGGGCAATTAACTTTGTCTTTGTTGTTGTTGTTTCGTCATTTTTTAGTCGTGTCTGACTCTTTGTGACCCCATTTAGGATTTTCTTGGCAGAGATACTGGAGTGGTTTGCCATTTCCTTCTCCAGCTTATTTACAAGTCATTTCTGTTTTCTGCTAACTACTATGTTTGCCCTTAGACAAATTAATATTCCTCACAGTTTTTTCTTAGAAAAAAGATGAAAAACTTGGTCTAGATAATCTCTAAAGGCCTTTCCAACTTTGATAATCATCCTTATACTCTCCTATCAGCCGCTACAGCCTTTCTTCCATTTCTTCTAGTTGGGACACTCCAGTCTGAGAATGCTAAGTTACTAAGCCCCTCCCCAGGGGTCCTTTTCCCATCACCTTTTATCTTTTCTTATGGAAAAGGCACAGAGACTGTCTGCCAACCCCCGCCAACTCATCTGATCCCTTTACAAGAGCACAATGGGGCTAAAAGGGCATGAACACTCAGTGCTTCATTCAAGGGGTTTCAGGGCTCTGGGAGATAAAGAGTGGGTGGCAGACACCAGTGCATTCCAACCGTCCCCTCAATAGAAAGCAAGAGGGGAATACTGCCATTCTAGAACGGTAACTGAATGCCTCCCCAGGCTTTGTGGGGAAGAAGGCAAAGGTCACTAATAGAGGGAGCCAAATTTGCCAACCAAGCCCTCTCTGCAGGCCCCGGCCCCCATGCAGAGCCAAATCCACTGGAGACCACTGGCTGGAAAGAGGGCAAAGAAAAGCGGATTGGGAGTCAGAAGAACAGATGCTCAATCTGCTCCTATCCATTTAGCCAGCCTTGGATAGGGAAGTGAGGCACCCTGTGCCCTCAGTAGCCCTTCTGTGCCTCTGGAGACGGTGCCTGTTTGACCTGCTGTGGCCAGAACAAACCATGACCCGATGGCAAAGCCTCCTTTTCTCACTTAGCCAGGCTGATGGATAAACCAGCGAGCAGTAATTAAGTGCCTAACAACAACAACATCAGCTTGTGCTTATATGGTGCCTTAAGGTTTGCAAAGCTCTTCACCAATATTATCTCATTTGATCCTCAGAACAACCTCAGGAGGCAGGCGCTATTGTTATCCTCATTTGTTGATTGTTACTCAGTCGTTTCAGCTGTGTCCAACTCTTGGTGACCCCATTTGAGGTTTTCTTGGCAGAGATACTGGATCAGTTTGTCATTTCTCTCTCCAGCTCATTTTACAAAAGAGGAAACTGAGGCAAACAGGGTGAAGTGGCTTGGCCCACTAGTAAGTGTCAGAGGCTGGATTTGAACTCGTGGAGATGAGTTTTCCTCACTTCAGGCCCTGTGCTTTATGCACTATGGTGCCACCTAGCTGCCCTCTCTATTGCCACCAGATCTGACGGCCTTTTCTCCATCTTCAGCCAGTCTCACTTCTCCACTGCATGAAGATTGAGCGCTCCCTCATCCTTTCTTCCCTGAACTTACATGATGCTGCTCTTCCTTGGTCCTCCTCCTCTGCGTCTGACTACTCCTTCTCCATCTCCTTTACTGAACCTCCCGTAACATCTTTGGTCCCTTCCCCGGGACCCTTTTCTCCACCTTCTTCTTTCCCAGAGATCTGATTGGC